GTTTGGTCCAGCATGGACCTAGTAAGGGAGTAAAAAAAGATGTATTTTGAAGGTAGACAGAACTTTTTTTCTTTTTCATGGCAAAGTAGAATTATTCTTCTTGGGATTTTCTTCTCTTTCCTTTTTTCAAACAAACAAACGTTTTTATTGTGATTTAGGTGAAAGTTTACAGAGCAAATTAGTTGAAACAAGATTTCCTTAATGGTTTTGATGTGGTGTTTGAGAGGACTTGAAAGAAACTCTGAAAGCTTAAATTTTGACCACCTGGTTTGCAGAAGACTGTGAACAAGTCCATTTGCGGGGTCCCCACATGGAGTAAGCCTCTGGTGAATCCCCTCTGAGCATAACCCAGGGAGATGAGCAGCCTTGCTATCAGACAGAGAGCATTGTGAAGTCCATTACGGCAGCTATAGTTAAGTTAAAATGTAATACCTTATCATTTGATCTTCCTTTTGACATTTTAAAGCTATTTCCATTTTTAATATTTCCTGCTTTCTTTTTGATTAAGGTGTTTCTGTTTGTTGTTGTTGTCTGTGTACTTGCTTCCTGTTTGTATTTTGCATGATTTTCTGTATATGAAATCCACGCTAGGTAAATCTATAAAGAGAGAAACTGGATGAAGAATTTCCTAGGGACGTGGCAGGGGACCAGGAGGGAACATGGGACCCTAACAGCAATGAGCAGAGAAGAAAATACTGTGGAGTTAATTGTGGCGATGCTTGCACAACTCTTCTTTTCTTTTCTTTTTAAAATATTTTTCTCACCATTTGATTGGGGGCTCTTATGACATTCCACACATCAGTTGTATCAAGCATGTTTGTACATGTTGCCATCATCATTTCCAAAACATTTTCTGCTTGAGCCTTTGATATAAGCTCCTCTTCTCCCCCCGCCCCACTCTCCCACCCTCCTGTATCCTTGATCAATTATACAGTTATTGTTAGTTTGTATCTTACACTGTCCTTTGTCACCCTTCACCCACATTACCGTTATTTGTCCCCTTCACGGGGTCGGGGGGCACAATATATCCAATCTTGTGATGGGTTCCTCTTTTCTCACCCTTCCCCCTCCCTGACCATCCCCCTACCCTCACGATATTACTACTCCCATTACTGCTCCTGAGGGGTTTATCTTTCCTGAATTCCCTGTGTTGAGAGCGCTTATCTGTACCAATGTGTGTTCTCTGGTCTAGCCAGATTTGTAAGGTAGAACTGGGCCGTGGTAGTGTTGGGGAAGAAGATTCATCAGTACTATACTGTATCTTGGTTGAATCAATCTTTCCTTATATTACTTCTGTGGGGGACTGTCCAATTATCTACAGATGGGCTTTGGATCTCCACTCCACCACCCTCTTTCGCATCAATATAGTTGCTTGTTTTTTTTTCTCTTTTTTAGGCAGTGAGAGAGTGAGAATGAGAGAGTGAGAGAGTGAGGCAGTAAGAGAGTGAGAATGAGACAGTGAGAGAGTGAGGCAGTGAGAGAATGAGGCAGTCAGTGAGTGAGTGAGTCAGTCAGTGGGAGAGTGAGACAGTCAGTGAGAGAGTGAGACAGTGAGAGAGTGAGAATGAGACAGTGAGAGAGTGAGGCAGTGAGAGAGTGAGAATGAGACAGTGAGAGAGTGAGAATGAGACAGTGAGAGAGTGAGGCAGTGAG